GATAACTTAATATTATTTTTCAGACATCGTTTACGTGGATATTAGTGCCTTGATAAAAGTAAAACTCTGACTATTTAAATTGAGATTATTTTACCTTAAACATGTTTATGATTGAAAACAGATATCGCTTCAAATAACAAGAAAGTGTTTTCTTTGGATACTAGATCTTTGTGAAGAGGAATAGAGTTTGCTTGAGTTGATACATCTCTGTGAAAGCGAATCGAGGTGAATGTAACAACAACAACCACCGTTCACCACGAAGTGGCGGTGACATCACCACTACGCTTGTGCCAGGCTATGTGCACCTTGAGGCCACGTGAAGTGTCGAACGCCCGCTGGCAGGTCACGGGGTAGACCCAGATGCCACAGGTCTACTGACTGATACGACTGGCTGATGCACCACCTGTGCCCCCTACCGTGCCAACTTGCTGTGCTTTAGCCACCCGGTGCTCCGCTCGTTGTTGTAAGCGTCACTCTTCCGCCCTCCGTTGTTGTTGGAGGGCGACTGCCTCTAACTGCCCAGTAGCGTCCTTCATGAGCCTCCTCCTTGGTGGCAAGCTCCAGGTTCTGCAGCAGCACCTCCAACTCCTCCTCTGATTGAGCAGCAATTACCAGATCATCGCAATACATAACCAAAGAGTATGGATCCCTGCAGTCACGAAACTTAAAATCTAGATTGATACATAGCGTGGTTGAGCAATAGGGAGCCATCCCTTGACCGCTCTCTCTCCCACTTCAGCAAAAAACAAAATCTCGCTGTGGTTTTCTCACTTGATGATGATTGCTTGTGTTGCAATCGAAACCTGGTGATTTATTTTATTATATAACCACGTGACTTGACCGAAAGAACCAAAGAATATCGATTCCTGCAGTCACGAAAGCTTGAAAACCTACAATGATTCCCGCTTTAACTTTAACTGATTATGTTTTAGTGTGTTTATGTCAGGTCTCAAAATTAATATCTCACCGCAAGTATACAGTTCTTATAATTAAGATTATTACGCATGAACATAGGAAGGCACCACTCAGACTCTTCTGTGTTTAGCAACTTTAACATTTAAAAAACATAACACTAATATGCGAACTGTTATGCTAGGAATGTCAACACAGTGCTCCTGGAGATGTCGTCCTCATTGATCCGTACATTTAACCCTCAATGGTTAAGTTTGTTAAACTAGGCTAATTCCTCAGAGTAAGGCAAGCATACATGGCGATAGAAAATTCCTTAAAAATTAAAGTGTAATAAAGAAACATGTGCCTAAGGCAAAAGTATACCTCAATTAATTCATTGGTAAAATTGTGCAATTAACAAAATGTCTTGGAACAATGGTGTGCCTGCTTGTCTAACAAATGCTTATCAATTGGCTAAGGGCTTCAATAACTTTGCGGGCAAGATTCTGTGATAAAAAAAAGATGTTAACACAATCGTATCCCTGTGAGTGTGTAGATTCATAACCTATATGTTTATAAATGTTTAGTTTCATCAATTAATTCATTGGTACAGTTATACAATTAACGAAAACGAATGACTAAAATATTCCTAAACGACTGTATCCACGTAGATCAATAGGCAGCAATGCTTTTCACGATCAGCTATTATTTAACGCACCCACTTTAGATGACCACCCTTTTTGAAACACAAAGATAACTTTCAGAGCAATCTTATTAGTCCCAATATGTGCGTTGTGTGTGTGGGTGTATTGTTTCCGTGCTCCACTTTTTGAGTTAAGTGGTTCTCTGCCAGGCGGTGAGTCGTGTGTGTCTGGGCGTGTCATACACACGGCGCTGTGGCACCCCCCCCCCCCTCTTTCTGCTTCCCGGAGTTGTGCTTCTCCTGCGCACAGCCCCCTGGCTACAGCAACTCCAGCAAGCTACTGAAGCTCCGAGGCTGCAGGAACGTCCCCCTGAAGAGTGCCCTGAACACAGCGCTCTACACGTGCTGTGTCACACTGCATTCCCGGGACCTGGCCGACCTACCGGACACAAAATGGAGAGACCATTTATCTCCCCTCATTGCGGCCACCCCTCAGTGGAAACAAATGTAAAAGTCTTCTGTAGCAAAATGCTGCGGTGACATCTGGTGGAGATTGGCACACTGCACATTGCCATCGGCCGTGTGGCTCAGCCGAATCTCGCCAGGGGCAACATACTTGTGCATTTCCTGCGGTGCCAGGGAGGATCTGCCCCACCAGTACTTATGCTGCCAGCGGCTCAAACCAATGTTCCGCCTTTTGGGGGACATCTTCAGGAACCTGGGGGTGCCTTTCTACAACAGCAGCTTCGTATATGGGGTGCCTTACCTGGCTAACAAGCGCCATGACCTCGCCAACTTCGCCTGTGCTCAGGCGAAGATGGTGGTGTACAAAACGAGGAAAAAGATCCTGGAAGGTGACACTGACGGCTGCTCTGTGCTTCCAGTGTTCAGGTGCCTGCTTAAGGTGCGGCTCCGGCTGGAGCACGCATACCACAGACATGTCGGTGATGTGCACGTCTTCTTCGAACGCTGGGGAGCCGGAAAAGCCCTCTGTACCAGCGTGGACGGCACCCTCATGTTCACCTTTTGAAGCGCTCGTTCGTCACCGTGGCGTGTGCGATGACCACCACCACCACGTGACTTTTTCTTTCGTGTTGTGCACACTCCTTTGCAGGAGTGTGCTCGGCTTCCGAGTCCGCACGCTCGTGGGTAGTTGTTAGCTGCTGCTGCTGCTGGTCCTGTGCGATGCTCGCTTGGTCGATGCTTGGCGCTTTTTTCCCTTTCTCCAGGTTGATTGCTTGTCGTTGCTCATCCCTCTTTCTCTTTCTCTCTTGCTGCAGCCGCTGTTGGGAGCTGGCACTCAATGTAGAATACAACTTTTAGTGATACTTCGTCTGTCAGCGCCAAACTCACACTCGGTGACACATCGCTACTCTGCAAGCCTCACTATCCATGGACGATTGCGGGGCCCACCCCCGGAGCTTGCTGCAGCAAGACTCAATTTCCATTGATCTTTGTAGACTCGACCTTTGCTGGTGTGCAGCTCCGTTTTTCAACTTTCATGCTCTCCGCCCTTCTTCCAAGAGGGCTCTTGCTGTGAGCTGCTCGTCGCAGCTCCTCACTTACTCTCAGAACTCATAAATTGTATTCGCACATCTCTTAGCTTCTCACAAATCTTATAGCTTAGTACAATACAACGTATCGCAATCCTTAACTCTGCAAGTGACTCAAAACATCAGGATGAATGTAGAATAAAACTTTCAGCAATACTCTGTCGGTCAGCACCGAACTCAGCACCTAGCAACACATTGCTCCTCTCCTCTGCAAGACTCGATATCAATGGTTGATTTCGAGGACCATCTCCGGAGCTTGCCATTGCAAGACTAAGTTGCATGATCTGTGTCATTGCTGTAATGTGAAATTCTCCCCCCTCTCCGCATCTCTTGCGAAAAAAACTGAATCTCTTTGACTCGATCTCCTCCTGTGGTCGCAGCCGCTTGGTTGCCCCCCCCCCCTTTTGACCTTTGACCGGCTGCTTTTCCATCACCATGTTTATGTTTTGGTGTGCGTCCCCCCCCCCCCCCTTCTGCCTTCGTGGTGTTTGCTATCTCAAGGGGAGGCGCCCTCCCTTCATACGTAATTTATTGCTACCATGTGTTGTCAAATTTTTGGAAGACAAAGGCGGTTCGGAGGCTCTGAACCTATGGAATACATATTATCTTGGCCGTGTGTGAGTGACCTATTTCGTATCTCTTTTGAATTACCCTCGGTCTAATACTTCATATTTATTATTTGGTTTATATGCTCTTTGGTTCTTTTAGTAAATTCTCGTCGGTATAAAAATAAAATAAATAACGACGTTTCGATTGCAACACAAGCCGTCGTCCTCAGGCGGGAAAAAATAATCCCGCTTGTATTGCGATCGAAACGTTGTGATTTTTTTTTATACGTACGTGACCTTACCGAAAGAACCAAAGAGTATGGATTCCTGCAGTCACATTTGACCACCTGGTGAATCTGCAGAAGCTCTGGTTGAACAACAACCGGCTGACGAGTGTTTCCCAAGAGCGCGTTTAACAAATACACCCAGCATTGGCTAAACGTATACATATGTATATGTTGATGACTGTGTATCTAGAGTATACCATATATACCAGTTGTCAGCAACCTTTCTAAGAAGAAGAACAAACGGGGCCATTTTTCGTTTTTGTCTTTGACCAAAATAGTTCGAGAGCCGCATCACACATCGGAGCTAATTGTACACAAACACAGCAGCGGGTATACGCAGATGACAAAACAGCACACATTCTGACTTAAATAAACAACATAGATGATGGAATCAACTGCGTTCATTTCGTTTTTCCCCCCCTTTGTTATTCTTAAACAATACTGTTTGGCTCTTGTACAGTTTGTTACAGGAGATTCAGTGAATATACGAACGTGTTCGTAAACGATATTGAGTAGCATTAAAATAAGTTATCTCAAGCTCTCAATATGAATTCTATTCGGGCGCGTTATTAGCGGTGTTAGACGACGATCTGTATCGGTCACCTGTTCCCACTCGACTACAAACTGCATGGCGGCCTAAGTCACCACATGGTAAAATGTTCCCACTTGTCTCAGCGAAGAGGTAAAGGTGCAGCCCTGCAGTTGCTTTCTTATTCACGCCACTGCTGGCAGTGAAGCGTTTGGGAGGGCGACATCTCGGGCAAGGTGCCTCCCTTGCATGGTGGCTACTCTGCCGCTATTCTCACTGCTGGTGCACGACTCTGTCTTTAGTCTTTCTCCACCCAGAGACATGTTCAGAGATGTTTTACCGTGTCGTCTCACGTCTACCGTATCAGGAAACCTTTGTCTCAATGTGCTTTGACCCCGAATGTTAATTAACATTCGTAAACGTGACCATTAATTGTCAGCTATTTGCTAATTTATTGAGTCTGCAACCTCATCACCAGTTGTGCTTGGGAACGCTCATCAGCTGGTTGGTGCTCAGAGCCAGGTAAGTGAGCTGGGTGAGTTTTCAAACACCCCAGCGGAAAGAGGTCAGCTGGTTGCTGTTCGACCACAGCTGCTGCAGATTCACCAGGTGGTCAAACACCCCCTCGGGAAGAGGCTGCAGCTGGTTGCCACTCAGATCTATAACGGTCATCTGGGTCAGACTGAATAACCGCAGAGGGTAGTCATGGCTTATGGTGATACCAGAGATCGCTTCATCAAAGTGAACATTGTTCATTACAATGAGCTCAGTTAGTTAAAGTGGCCTGAGTTCAATTCCATAGAGATTTAGGAGAGCTCAAAGCAAACGCCAATCACGTGCATGGAGTTAAGTTAGTGAACTGGATCTCTATTCGCATTACAGTAAAAACGACTTCAGTCCCTTTCATAGAGATCTGATTCGTTTACGCAAATCCATTCGCTTTTATATCCATGAACTAAATAGCACTTCTGCCACTTTCATACAGATCTGTTAGTTAACTCGAACTCCACTCAATGGCATAAAAATCTTAAGTTACACGAATTCCATTCACTTTCCGAACTATTTTTTAAATAAGGCTAGGTGCGTTCACATTAATTTAGAACTTAGCTGAAGTGACTTTGATGCACAATCATATAGATATTTTAACTAAAGCGACCTCTATTCTATCTTAAGCAATTTTTACTTCATAAAGCCACCACTCTTTCCTTAAATGAAGCCCGTTAGAACATTGTTATTGTATCTTGTTTGCCATTATGCCGGTGTATGTGAGGAATTCAAAATCATGATTCACTATCACAGTGACAATAGAAGGAGCCTCAAAGTCTCGTGTCTCCACCAGTGCCGCCAGACTGTCAAACACCCCAGGCTCGAGCTTCGTGATCTTATTGACTTGCAAATGCAGAATCTGCGCATTGGTAGGGATTCCCGCAGGCACAGATGTGAGGCTTCTCCTGTCACATTGAATATCTGTCCCTGAGCACGAACACTGCGAGGGACGGGCGACGGTTTAGAGGCGCCTCACAACGGCCTCCCCTTACACGCGAGCGGCATCGCGTGTGGTCCAACATTTTACCCGAGTTGCCTCTTCCTGAAGCTTTCCCTGAAATGTTTCTTCTGAAATAGTTTTATAGTGCTTAGTGTGTATGTGTTACTTAGTTTTGTGCATTTACGAAAAATTATGTCGAATTGTGGTTGTGACGTGTTTTTATATTTTTATTTTCGTTAATTGTAAATAATTTTGTTTTGCAAGCTCTCCACTGAAAATAGCGGATTTCAAAATAATCTCGGCCTAGTTAATTGTAGGTATGGCGTATCTTTCTCGATATTTAGATATGATCCCACACAACCCAGACAGCTGAGCCCTTTGGCACCACCAAAGGAGGGCTGCGGGGGATCTCGGATCCCAACCAACTGCCAGGAACGGTTTCTGCTTTGTCGCTGCGCACCGGGATAGAGACGACGCTCGGCACGAGAGACGTTCGGTTTGTAAAGCTACCGCGTTATTGACATTCACAGCCATCGTCATCATCATCGTCATGGTGCCCTCTTGTGCTACGAGTTAGCCTGCAGTGTCACTGAGCAGTGAGGTGAGCGTCTGCGTTAGTGCATCAGTGAATATTGCATGGAGTGAATTATTAGAGCTGATATTTAGCGTTTATATAAACTAACGCGTGATGTGATGGCTTGGTGCAGCAACAGCATAACAAAATCACCACAACATCCACACAACGCAACGCGACAAAAAACAACGACGTAACAAAACAACCAACCACACAACACCACCACAAAGCACAACAAGAGAAACCACGCGAAACAACAACTACACCAACAGCAGCAAGAACGAAAAACTCTCCTCAAACAGGAATTGGCTGCACATTCCATTGTCGTAGCATCCTCCTGAATACAGTCTCGGAAGTCAGTCAACCTCCCGTGGACAGGCGAATGCCGGAATTAATAACACTCATCGAAACACCCCAGCGGGGAGACCTGTGAGTTGATCGCTGAGCACGACTCGTAGATCAGCAGCCTCCGCCTCTTGCTGTAGAGCAGCCTCTACACGAGAGCGTCGCTCTTCACACGGCAGTGGAGTTCAACGCGGGTCCCTAGGTCGCGTTAGCGGCGTCGTGTTCACCTCACATCTCGGCACCTCGCTCCATTCCGTGCCCGCTGTCTGTGCGGTGCAGTACAACGACCCTCATGGTGTTCAGAGCTCGCCTCGCATTCCCTCTGGAACATTTTTACTCGATCAGTAGTGTAGCGATTAGCGCGCTGCCCTACGAACCTGGTGAACCGGGTTCGATTCCCGATCATGGCCAACACCAGTGACGATTAACTTAACCGGTCCTGGGCCTCCCCTAAGTCGACTCAGCCTCAAATGAGTACCTGGTATGATGTGTAAATATCGTCGTTAGGGAGACAAAGGAGGCCGGTCTTTGTGTTTGCCACCCACCCCTTCGTGTGCCGTGCCGGTCTTCATAGGTGCTCGCTAACAGCACTTGCCGTAACAGTCTGTTAAGGTTATACGGGAATCTTTGTCTTTGTTGTTGTGTGGTTGTTATTTTTGTGTTTGTTGCCGCACTAACATAAACCCGCACAGCACATGCTCGTTTCTGTAAAGGATCAATACCAGCTCTAATTATTTTCAACATTCACTCATTTAATCTTCACGAATGTTCAGTTACACTGTAGACTAACCTGAAGCACTAGAGGACACCATAACGACGGTGATAATCATGATGACCGTGGATTTCAATAACGCGGTAGCTTGATAAACTGAACGCTACTCGTGTCGTGCGTCATCTCTATCCCTATTCCCTGCGAAAAAGCAGAATCCGTGCCTGGCATCGCTGGCTCTGTTTGTTAAACGCGCCCCTGGGAACGGTCTTCAGCTGGTTGAACTGCAGTTCCAGATGAACGAGCTGGGTCAGTTTGTCGAACACCCCAGTGGGGAGAGACCCGAGTTCCTCACTGCGCAGCAACCTCAGACACTCGCTCTCTGCTGTTTCGGAAGACTCTAGCAGAGTGAATGTAAAAACGACTCCAAAGAGCATTGTTTACATTTATTTCACAACATCAAGCTTATGAGCGGATTGGTGTTGTTCAAAACAATATCAAATTAATTATTCAAAGTAAATTTGTCTATCCACTTCTCGATGAAGCGACCATATTTCCTTACGCTGGTGGGGGGGTGGGGGGAGTGCGACCCCACACCAATTTCAATTATTGAACAACTAAGAGTGGACTACTTTTCTCGCTTTAGTTGAATAGACAAAAAAAATTAGTCAATGAAATACTGTACACAGGGCTGGAAATGAACTGAAAATCTACAAATAACGCGAGACATTCGTCAAGCGCACTGCCTTAAAGGGAAAATACATCGATGAAACGTTGCAGCCACGTGCATATACGAGACATGAAGAAGGGCCATCGCCTGAAATGTCACCCATTATATATTTTCCGTTATGGCAGCGTGTGTGTGTGTGTTGAGTTTGTTTTGTTATCTGTGCTTGTGTACCACTGCTTGCAAAGGCGGTATCCACAAATAATTTGTAAAGTTACACGAGGCGTCGTCAAGTCGACTTAGGCTGACTTCAGGAACACAATCAGACCAAATGAATACAGCGCCTGACCTAGCTGGTGAGTCTACGGGAGCTTTACCCCAGTTGAAGAGCATTGCCTGGAGACTGGGTCGCTCTTCCCATTGTGTGCTGTTCACACGTGGCTAGAGACGAACTCGGGAAAAGCGCTCAGCGTGCTCAATGCCCCGGGTCACCATCGAGGAGTAACAGATTAAGGTGCAGCCCTGCCTGGCTCACGCCATTGATGTCAGAAGGGCCTCCACTGGAGGGAGCTCTAGAGAGCTCCTCTGAAGGACGTCTTGGACGAGATGGGAGTACCCTCACTTTGCTCCACTAAACGCGACGCACCGATCGACTGTAGTGAACTCGTTTGTATCTCGAGGTGCACAGAAGCAGGAGGATAAAAATTAAAACGTCATCATCGTTTCATCAGCTGCGACAAGAGACCAGGCCGGCGACCAATGGTTTAAACATCCACTCTGTTAAGATATACTCCGCAGGAGCAGACTTTGGACTCAATCATCACTAATACCATGATCTACAATAAGCATAAACAGCTACACCCTTGTCATATTCATCATCATCATACATAGTAAGGTTCATGGCTATTAATAATGATCAACGTACGTAATTGTAACAAAAAACATTAGTGTGTTCTTCAATCTGCTGTTGAAACACAGAATGTCGAATCCGGTGCAAAATGTTGATTGCAACGAATCAATGTTGCTGGAATTAAGCGCTCCAAGAAGCCGTGTCGCCGCTGGATTAGGCAAAAACAACTTGAATTAGATAGGTTGAGTGAAAGACAAATTTGAAAGAGCTGCATTGTGTGCGCATATATTTTTTGTTACAAAAGAGTTGATACATTTCAGACGATGGATCGACTTCATATTATAACAACTCCATCTCGCGTATGTGTGTGAGTCACGTGTGGCTGTACGCAGCAGCAGTGCAGTGAGTGCAAGGCTGGCGCCTCGGCATCCCTGCGACGCATCAGGGCCAGTCCCAGGGGTCACTGTGCAGCCAAATGTATTGCAGCTTCGTGAGGCTGTCGAAGGCGCCCTTGGGAACGGTCGTCAGCTGGTGACATTGGTCGGGTGTCTCCTCGTCCATCGATCCACATTACAAACAGACACAGTGTACGTAGATGGCATATGCACATGCATGCAGGAACAAGCGAATCATGTAATCAATGTAGTCCACACTTAAGTACGTGTACATTACGCACATTTAAACGTACATACATACACAAACACACATACCTACATGCACACTTCTATACTCAATGTAGTGTTCTTGACGAACGTGAGTTGTTTTGATTACATCGAGTATAAACTCACGATTATTATATTGTATTATAACAAACGCGTAATGTTTCATCGCAATGATTCCATTTAGAAGAGCCGCAGCTCCTTCAGACTCACGAGCTGATGGAACGCGCCAGCACCAATGGGTGTAAACTTATTCGGGTCCAGACCTCAGTGAGCCAGTGTTGGCATAAGCACACGTAACAAAACAAACTCAACACAACACAGTTTCAGTTTAATTTATTTGGTATCGCCATGTGAGCCATTCGGCTCTTGAACCGGATGCAACGGCAACAAACAAAAAATAAAAACATGAACAAAAAAACATCTTAAAGTGACGGTGCGCAAACAGAAAAATCCAGGAAAAAACAGCAAAATCTTCCAGAAAAAGCACCGTACACCAACGCTGTGTGCAAAAATCCCAGTGGGATGCAAGTCAAACAACAACAACCACAAGACAAATTAGATTAAAGCCATCAGTTTAACTCCGTACTACAACAAACAAACATGGCGAAACCAAAAATATTTTGAAATCACCAAAATAAAGCCATAAAAGCAATGTAACAGTGATCATAGGAACTGTGACCGAAATTTCACAATAAACTGCATAAACAACATGCACCACCAAACCCTGTAGCCATAGCTGGCAGCATGAGTCACTCCATAACAGCAGGAGTATCAGTAGGAGTATCAACATTTTCCATTGCACCTCTTAAGATCAGCACACTATAATCAAAACTAAAGATCATACTTTGCAGCGGTCATCCGGAGCGATACATTTGATTTCAGGCCACTGAATACTAGTGGCATCTAGGGTGTACAACTCCTCAAGAGCAGTTGTGAGTGAATATCTCACAGGTAGTGATCCAATTTGAAGTTTATTGGCGATAGCATTCCAGACCTTGGGGCATCAATAGCAAAGGCCCTTCCTCCAGTATTTGTACGGCAATAAGGAATGTGAAGCTGGTTGTGACCTTTGGTCACATTTGTTTTCGAAACAGTGAGGACATCTAGCAGGTAGTCTGCTGATTTTTTTGTAAGTACATCGTGAATAAATAAAATCTGATGCACAAGCTGTCGATCATTAAGAGATGTTAAGTTTGACCCAATGTAGAGATCGC